TGATCTTGCGGACTATCTGGAGGGGTGTGTGCCTTCAGCACTGCATCTTCCTTGGATCTTTTCTCTCTGGACCTTTTCTGTGCCTCTCTCCAATATTTTCTCAAATTCCTCTTTGCCCTGTCTCCCATCTCGTCTATTTGTTTTACTTTTTTGTCTTTAACTCTCTTCTTCCACCTTTGTCTTTCCTTCTCTTGCATAGCATGCTTGCTCTCTTGGTCACTGTTTAATTTTTCTCTTCTCTTTTGTTGGTACTCTCTATTTCTTCTCCTTTGCTCCTCAACTGACAATTTCTGTCTGGCCATGCTTCCCTACAATACAAATTTAAATTAAGGAAAATGTACATGAATAAGACTATAGAATCAGATTTTGATAATTCAGATCATGATAAATGTTTTTTTGGTCATATCGCCCCCCAGCCCTACATTGGCTTCTAATTTCTCTATCTCTGTCTCTACATATACATATACACAATATATATATATATATATATATTAATGTGCTGGCAAAGTTACACGTTACACAATAATAAGCAGACCACTGCCTCACCATTCTCTACAAGTCAGATGTGTATGGTTAAATAATGTAATGCATGCTATGTATGTGCATTTATGTCTAAATAAAACCCTGAAATAACAGTTTAACCCTTCACTATATTCACAAATAATATTATATTCACACATTAAGGAGGTTATTGGTAGATTTGTCAACTCCATCAGCTTACAGGTCAACTCCGTCAGACATAGAACCTGACGGAGTTGACGTCTGACGGAGTTGACGTAAGGGCATGTATTTTCCCGCCAAAACATGTATTTTACACTGCAGCTAGGTAGTTTTTCCTCAGTTGCTAACTGTCCCAATAACCTCACTAAAATGCTTTAATTCAATCCACTATGGTTTAAAAAAAGTATCTTAAACGAAAGATGGTATTGACATTGTGCAGCTGTGACCAAAGGAATATTGACATTGTTTGTCTAAAATATAAAAAAATGTCAAACTTACCAGAGCATGTGTGGTAGTGCTGCATTCACCACAGACAGGGAGATAAAAAGGGGTCCTCAAGGATATAGCTGACCATGCTATTTCCTGATTTAAAGAGCTTTATGAAAAAATCTGACGGAGTTGACAGAAGCTGAGGACGCAACTTTAATAGGCAGATTTTTATGGAAAATATTGTTTGATGTTCACTTCATGCATTGTTTTTTATATTTATACCCCTTATTTTTATTTGATATATATGTTTTCACAATTGTAGAGCTTTTTTCATTTTTTTTGGGATGGTTAATATTGTAACTTCATGCTGAGGACAAGTGCAATAACATGGACTATCTAACCACAGACCATATATTTAAACAACTTTTCCCCAAAAGATAAAAAAGTTTATTCTGAAAATCAGATGGGTATATACAATTCCTTCAGATTTAACTTTGTGAGTATGCCATACATGCTGAATTTCTTAATTTTTGCTATAAATTAGACTTTTCTATGTGGGACATGTTTTGTCCCGACTCTCAGGAATCAGTGTCCTATATTCTTGTAATAGAGGTGGGTGATATATTTAGTGTAATGGTGTAAAGTTGTTAAAATGAAATGCTTGACCTTTGAAATCATCAGATTGTTGTAACTGCAGTAAGTTAGTTTGGTCTCTTGCCTCACTTAGATTCAGCTTCATGTCACAAAATACAAATTTTTCCTGTTAGTATAACAGTGAAAATCCCTTGCTTACTTCAGATTTCTACACATTATGACCTTACTGTGGCCACTGATGTGGGTTAGGGCCAGTGTATTCAATGTGCAGTCCCCACTCATTATGCTACTTCCACTCTGATGCCCTTTACCCCACCTAAAGTCTGATAGATGGCTTAAGTAACTGTTTTAGTCCTAAATCTAGCTTGCTATCTATCAAACTCTGTGTAAGCTTTGATTGTGCTTACTGATGCCTGAGGAAGGAGCCAAAGGATTTGCAATTGTGTTGAGTGTATGTCAACCACTGCAGAAAATGGCAGAAAATCTCAAATAGGAAAGGAGAAACATTGTGAAATTATTGGGCAATGACGATATCAACTCTAACGTCTATGAGTTTAACCAAAGGTTGGCAACAGCAAGAAGAAACTTGTGAAATCTACAACGATTCTTAGAGGTGACTGTGTAAAAAATGCTTCTTTGGCAAAGGTTCTTTGCCAAAAAACATTCAATAACTGGCAGGAAGTGGAAAAGAAATAATTTAGATTTGATTAAATCCACATCATTCAACTAAAGGTAATTTACTACTGTTTTTTAAGGACCTGTCATTCATTTAGATGATGCTTGTTTTTTTTTTTCTGGGGAAAAAGGACGCAAGTAAAATTAATGAGCATCTCCCTTCATGGCCGGTCCAAATTTCCTTCTCTGCTGCTTTTGGCTTGAGACAGTACGTGGAAGCAGTGTATTCTATGCATTTTCACCAGCCACTGTCTGCACTGTCAAACAAGGGCATGCTGTTGGTAGCTTTAGCCAGTAGTGGAGAGCACAGGGCTGGACCTTTCCACCTCACTACCCTCTGACTATGCTACCTGATAGCACAGCTCAGCTCTCAATGATGACTCACTCTATTTAATGAGTTTTCCTGAAGCGTTATGTCGCCAGCTATTGACCACCTTGGAGAGGTCATAATTATCACGTAAGAGATACAGCTCTGTATTTAGTGTGCGCTAGTAGTTGGTGTTTTTTTTTCTTTCTTTCTTGCAGAGGCAGGTGCATCATCGTTGTATTAAATTTTCAAAAAACACAGAGGTTTGGTGGAAATAGAACATGGTTGGCTGCTTTTGGTGTGTGTTGTGTAACTACACACACTAGAAACACTACAGACTTACTAACGGCTAACATTGTAACGCACACACACTCCCAGATGTTAACTCAGGGTAGTCAGAGTAAAATAATAATGTTATATAAATACATGTATAATTATATGTACTCTTGTATTATTTTCTTCAAAAATCAGAGTGATTGTCCATCACTGCGTGTTTTTGATGCAGTTCTGGACCCGGACTGTAGAGGATTGCTATATGTAGTATAGGGGTATGCACTCTTTGCGCTCTCTAGATTTGCTCGTGTTCCAGTAACACAAACCCAACCAACAAGGTAGCTAATTTTATAACATGAGTCTGCATGCTCAGTATGTTGGTCAAGGATACTTTATCAGGATCCGATCAGGCTGAGCAGCATTGGCCTATGTGCTTGTCTGTTTACAGAGTGGTTTCTCAAACAATTAGGCCACTTTGCTGCTCATAAGTAGGCCAGCAGCTCGTCATATTTCGAGGTGTGAATCTCCACTAGCCACATGATTAGATTACAATTCACCTGTCAACGATTCGAATGGACTTTTGATAGCATTATCAAATATTCATAAATATAAATAGGGTGGACAAAGTAATAGAAACACCAGTCAGTATAACACAGTGCAGTTCAACAGCACCACACACTCCTGCCTTCAAAATCAACACCGCTCTGAAACAGCTTCAACAGAACATTATAACCTTCATGGAGGTTGGATTCATTGCAGGACATTTACACTGCATTGGTTTGTGCTAGCTGTACTTAATAAATTCAATAACTTATTGACCTCTTAAGGATGCATGCATGCAAGCTGGTTAAGTAAAGCCTAATACCAAAGTGAACTCCTGAGAAACAGAGTCGGTGCGGCATCCAGGGAAATCGACGTGGCCCAGCATCCACAACCTAGTTGATTGACTTATTGACAAATCTCTGAGTGCGTACTTGTGTGTGTGTGTGTCATTGTTAAAGTGGTGCAGGGCAGGCCACAACACCTATACAATCAAGAAATTAGTTGCACTATGGAACTAAATGAAGTGCCAAGGGATTGGGGTTTGCCACGTTAACTATCAACAGGAAGAATATGAAAATTGATTTTGTCCTCCAATTTGCTGCTTATCTTGGGAACTTGGGAGGACCCTCTTCAGTGCTTTGGGACAGAGAGAATGATATGGTGTATTTGCTCTGCAGGCTTGTAGCAGCAGGTAGTAGATTTAGCATCTCTCTCGCGTTCCACACCCCCTGCCTGCCTGTCTCCCTTTGTTCCATGACTAAGGTCAAGACTGACGGACAGTGACTTTGCAGAAAAGGTCAGGGAGAGCAGACTGCTGGTTTAACCCAAGCCGGATAACTCCCAGAAGCACCTGGATAAATAGTGTTAGGTTTCAGCTTAGTTTGTTAGGAAATTAAAATGATGAAAAAGCATGAGAATGCTAATGAGACAATGAAAACTACACAGGTTTACAGTAAAATGAAAGAGGAAGAAAAATGGAGAGTGGGGCTACAAAGACCAAATGACATCAAAGCTCAAAAAGATGTCAAATGCAATATAACAAAATCTTAATAGACAGTGACATGATGCATATTTTTTCTTCCTGTGAGTTAAAAGAAATGTTTTCATTTCCTCTCCCCTGAACTATATTCCCAGGTGCTGTTTTAGTTTTTGTTTCTGTTCATTTCCCCTAAGGATTTGTAAGGGCAGCAAGGATTAGGGTAATTTTGAACAAAAAGTCCCAAACAGAGCATGTGGAGGTGACAACCTTATTCCCCAGGGAATGGAACCATTTGGGGAATTAGGAACAGGTGTGTGTTTCGACTCTAGAAAAAGCAATTGTATGAAATGAGACTGTTGTCAGATATTTGACCTTTATTCACTCACAGCTGATCAGCCGTAGCGCTCAGTCAGCCTTATTCGCATCCGTGATGGATTACACAAAAGCAAATAACCATGTCTCTTCCTGAAAGACGTCAGAAACCAAATTGGTGCAGATGACATTTCCGGGCTTCTTTGTCTGCGTGTTCCCAAAATATGCAGTCTGAGTGAAAACTGGGGCATGTTCAGTCCTCGATTAAATCTGCCCGCTCTTCTCCCCGGAGGAGTCTGTGGAATGCGATGGTGGGTGGGTAGCTGGTGCGCGGCGGTCCGAATTTCATTTATGTCTCATTGTTTTTTTCTTTTATCCTTCTTACAGGAAGAAATCCCAGAAATGGGATGAGATGAACATCCTGGCCACGTACCATCCAGCCGACAAAGACTATGGTCTGATGAAGATTGATGAACCAAGCACACCTTACAACAGGTTTTTTTTTTTTTTCTCCTTTAGCTTTTTGTGTTGATAACACTGTTTTTTTTTCTTTGAAAATATTTTAAATGCTAAATTTAAATTCGAAGTTATCTGGAGACATTCATTTAGTAGAGGCTTGTAAAAAAGTGTACCTCTATCTGCCCCTAAAATTATCACGTAGCCAGTTTAGAGCGTTAACCAGTGCCAGTGTAGGAGAGATAAGTGTGTGTTGGTGTTACAGGGATGTCTCAGCAGGTTAGTAATCCAATATGTCAGGGTGCTGCAGGGAAGGTCACCCTTGTCACAGACCTTTCCCTCTGTGCTCTCCTTCCTCTCTACCCTTCATCCCTTCTGTCGACCTGTCTCTTTGGCAGCTGCACTTCCTCTCCTTCCCAATCCTCCCTCCCTCGCCTCGTTTTCATCTTATCTTTACTCTGTTCATTTCTCTCTTTCAGGATGGTGGGGGACGAAGATGATGAGGGCGCGCTGAGTGACTCTGATGGCCACAGCGGACTCGCAGCTGATGACCTGGCATCAAAGTAAGAATTACATGTGGAACGGAGGGAGACGAGTACAAACCAAGTACAGAGATAATTAGGTTATCACTGTAACTGCTAAGCGCTGTAGCCTTTTGATTTTAAATGTTTCTGTAGCTGCTGGAGCAGTGTGTAGCATTTTAGATTTCTTGTGAAGTAGAACTATAACCTGGAAAAGGGAGAACAGTGTTTGGCCCAGATAAGCCACACCTGAACACACTCACCGATGTCCTTGTCCTCCCAACAAGAATGTGTCGTAACTGATAAGGGCTTATTTACTGTACAGTCTCTGAAGTCCTTAAGAGCACTTTACTGCAGCTTCAGACTGAGAAGACACATTTTGGACAAGACATTACGAGAAAAAATTTGCAGTACTATTGTTTTATAAACACTGTCTTTCTCTGGAAACATATTAATCAATTTTTATCCCTATAACTGATTTGCCAGCTGGTGTCACGACCTTTTATATAGCATACCCCAATGGCATCCAGATGTAACCTCCTAGTTAGTGGTGGTGTAATTGAGCAGCTGCTCAGCTGCAGCCTCCAGGTCAGAGTTGTCCTGCCAGAAAGTTGTGGCTCCAGATTGGGTTTACTAAATGCGTCTTGACAAACTTCCATCTTGACCTCCTTTTTCCACTGAAAGACAATAGAGCTGGGAGAACCACGGTAAAGGTCAGCAGTAACCCAAACTAATGTAAAATTGGCGTGTCCTGTTCACTGAGCAGACAGCAGTATGGTTCACTGCAGGTCTGTTCAATTTGTGGCTCTGAAAGGTACTCAGTGTACTCACTGTGTGTGTGTGTGTGTGTGTGTTTTTAAGATGTTTTAATACAGCAATAAAACGCACCAGTGAGGGGAAAAAAAAGCATATCTCTATTATAGGTTCTGCATAGCGTACACACAAACAATATAACATTTGATAAAACCAATTATAAACCAAACGGACACACTCACACCCCATGGTACTGTGTGGAGGTAAGTGTTACTCTGTTTATTCATTATCTGACAGCATTTCTTTGTTTTCATGGAAATGCTTTGTGCATTTTTACTCTCGGCCACAATCGCTGCTGGTCAGTAAACAATGGCTTTATGGGTGTTTCCCCAGCCTTGAATTCCAGGAGGAAAAAACTGTTATGCGATGTAAGGAAAAAAGCTCTAAATTATACTGGCTACTGTTAGTACTACAGATATGTTTTAAGTTGTTTTAAAGCAAATGCCACTGTGAATATACTTTTACACTGTGCAAACTGTTTTGAATATATTTATTTTTCTGTGACCAGATAATTTTTAAAAGAAGAAATCCGCATGAAGTTAAAATGTTAGGTTCATCAGTTTAACAACCACCTGTGGAGAGTGCCAAGGGTCAGAGCCACAATGCAGTAAAAATTGAAGTAACAAATACTTCTGTGACTCTAGACTAATCCTAAAATAAATGTGCATTGCCAAGATTTCATTTTAGTTTTGCGTGAAGCAGCAGTGTTGTTTAGCTTACAAAGAAATCTTTGTGTTGCATGTTCGTCTATCCTGTGAGAGGGATCTCTTTTTTTTTTTTTATAGGGAATGATTTTCCTTATCCGAATTTGGGATAGAGGGTGTGGTGTACAGATTACAAAACCCCCTGAGGCAATCTTGTGATTTGTGATATTGGGCTGTATAAATAATCAACTTTACTAGACTGATAATCAGTAACCGAAAGGTTCCGGTGTTTGTTCCTCAGACTCAAAGAACTAAAGCCTCTTTCCGTGCACCCGCAAAGAATGCTGTCTTTTTTGAATGAGAGTGCGATTGTGATCTCTTTTTTTTAACCTGAAAATCTTGAAGAACAGCAGTTTTATCAAAACAGCCGATCACATTGTAACTCCTGGACAAGCAGAAGCAACTTAACCCTGACAAGTTTTTCTGTGGAAAGAAATATATCACTCAGAGCTCTGGATGGTAATGGGAGCTTGAGATGTGTATTTGCTGTGGGCCAACGTGCTTACATAAGTGCACTGATGCAGGGATGGGGGTGTGTGCACCACAGAGAGGATAGTGATCAGCTCCAGGCTTGCAAGTCAATTAGGGGCCTTTGTTTACTTCCACACAGAGTGCCTTCCATTGTTTTACACTAAACCCTCCAGATAGAACAACAGCTGCTCTTTTCCTCTGTCCTCTTGTTGTTTAATCTCTCTCTCGTCCATCAATTATCCAACTATGCTTTCCTTAAATTTACCTCCCTCGTCTCTAATTCGCTGCATCACTTACACATTCTCTCTTCCTTCCCATCTCAGTTTTGATCCCCCATCCGCCTTGGATATCTGATACCATTACTGGGTGCATTTTGAAACTGTAGGGAAATTGGCAGTCTTCTTTCTGGGTGAATGAGGCCAGTTTGTTGGAGTGCAGTAGTACAGTAAATGGGAGCTTCCCCCGGAGCCAGTTGCACCGATTCACTACCATCCATTGAGCCGTAAACCATTATTCATTTTCTCCTCTGCTGTTAAAGCTCTTAGTGAGTGTGAGCGATGGTGAGATAGTAACTCTTGTTATTTTTGTCTTGCACTTGAGTACTCGCACACGCTCACATCTCACTGAGCCTACTCACTCCTCCTCCCCCTCGCCTAATATCTCTCCCATCTGTGTTCCTCCCATGTCTGTTTCTCTCCATAGAAGTTTTTTTATTTTAATCACCACACAATGACTTTAAGAGGGGTCTCCTGTTTCTATTTGGTCATTTAATATGGTGAAAACACAACAGAGGAAAATCACAATGGAATGGGAATACTGGAAAGAGGCATTTCTTTAATTGAAATTTCTTATTACACAAATTATTCTTGTCCCTTTCTGTCTGTTTTTATCTTCTTTCAAGGCTGGTAGCAGCAGAGGGCTCAGAGCCTCGCTTCATGAAGGAAGAAGAAGAAGAGGAGGAAGTAGAAGAGAGCAGCGAGGAGGAGGAAGATGAGATGACTCCTGAAGAACAAGGTAAACATGGAGATCCTTTTCCTCTTTTTTTATTTTTTAATTGATCACATCCATACCTACTAGAGCCTTAATTGATCTTGTGTCGGTGGATTATTGTCATCTTTATATGACAATAGGGTGGTGTTGTGTCATCATTAAGGCATCACAGTCATAACTCAACAGCTGAACGAAAGAGGCGTATATCAGTATCCATGGTACAGCTTTTTGTTAGTAGTGCCAGCGAGGGCGTGCCTCAGTTCACCTGTTTACAGTCTACAAAGACTCTTTAATACAAAGTGTCCTCTGCAGCTGTGAGGGTGACTAAATGCAAAGTGAAGTGCTGGTGGAGAGGGATGCAGTGTCCTGTGTGACCTTATGCTGACTTCCTTTAAGACACACACACGCGCACACACACACACACACACACACACACACACACACACACACACACACACACACACACACACACACACACACACAGTCGATATGCTTTTGACCGTTCTCTGACTTTGACGTCTATGCCCACATCATACACACACACCCCCACCTCTTTTTCTCAGATACAGGGATGTCAGTTCAGCTGATGCATCGTGCCTGCAGAGTTTCCATGCTTGCTTGTTTTTTATATTTATATCTGAACTGTGCGGGTAAAAGCCACAGAACAGTCTGGAAACTGCACCCTGATCGATGTAATCCAACTGCAGGGCTGTAGCGTCAGCAATTCTTGACACACAGTTCTAGTCCTGCCAACTTGTGCCACCAGTTTTAGCGCTGCATGGAGACATGCTGATTCAGGTGGAAGAGGATGTTTTACATGAATTATTTTAAGTTATGTGTGGGGAGGAGGTCAACACAAAATACAAGACAGACTCTGTGAGCAGATATATGCCAGTGCAACCATTTCAAGACAAACGTCGTCAAAGTGAAAATGGCTCTGCCAGTTGACTTCTGCCTGAAGAGCTGCACTGCAGTGCCAGGATGAAGTGACCTCATTGCAACCTTCAGTGTTTGCTTTGCCTCTCCACTTGTCACAGATGTGTGTATATTCAAATCCTGAATGCCACATTTGTCACTCACATTTCTAGACACAGAGCCTTCGCATGGCCTTTGTTAGCCTCACATGAAGTCTATGCCACACCCTCCTTTTTTACCTAATTGTTGTTATTACCAGAATATCTGTACTTTGCCAACATTATAATTAACCGACCTAAATTCGGCATGCACCCATTGCTTTTGGCAAGTTTAAAGTGGTTTGAAATGTATTCCCTCTCCGCAGCCAAAAAGAAGCATTTTCAGATGATGAGGAAGATGCACTACAACGAGGGCATGAACATCAAGCTGGCCCGCCAGCTCATTGCCAGCGAGCTAGAAGAGGACGAAGACGTGGACGAAGAGATGAGGGACGACACAGAAGAGGCGAGGGAGGAAACGGAGGAGATCAATGTTGACCCACCACAGGAAGGTGAGGAGAGGGAGGATGTGTTCTTGCACATGGGGGATAAATAATTTGGACAGTTTCCAGGCAAACAGTGTTTTTTTTTCCCCAGTGTATTCAAAGAGGCATAGTGGTGTAGAACACCTTGCAAATAATAGCTGACATGGAGAGATTCAGAAGTAATGGCTTTGCGCACTGATGCACACTGTCAGTGTGGATGTCGTTATTATAGATTATACTGCTGGCTGCTCTTTGTTTGTGCCGCTCTGTAGTTCATTTACTCGTAAAGCTGTCCATCAGCAGGAGGTCCAGTTATTTAAATGAAGCGCTATAACCCACTCTGTACATGAGCAGGCTGGGTTATAATAAAAGGCTTTAGTTAACGCATACTGATTAGTTTAAAATTATTTTGATCTGTACTGCTGCCAATCTAGGAAACCATGCATTCTAAGGGCCTGTGTCCACCAAAACATTTTTTACTGAGGCCAGCGTTTTTTTTTTTTTTTCCAATTAATTGCAATGGGAGCTCCACGTTTTTACAACATGGTAAAAACGTCAGCAGCGTGATGAGGCACTGAGCGTGTTTTTGGCACGTTCTGGCCGTTTTTTTCCCGGTCGCCGAGAGTTGAAAAATGTTCAACTTTGGAAAAAACGCAGCGCATGTCACTGTCACTTTTTACCCAGCTGCTAAATCACAGTGCAGGAGGGGCGGGACAAACACCACACCGAGCCATCTCAGCTCTTGAACAAAACGATATGCGTCCTCACCGAGTTATTTCCTCGCCCGCAAAATCTCATGGCAATCTCGCTCTACATGTTTTAGCCATCTCTTCATGCAGAGCAAGGGCCAGAGCAAGTAGGCCTACCCTACTCTGTGGTGACATTTTTGCATTCAGTAAAATTAGGTAGCCTACTAGCCACCTCCATGTATTTCATGTATCATAGCAACTAAAGTGTCTCGGGGGGGGAGGACGCTGTGCCTCCAAAGCCCACCCTAGCGCTCCCAGCTAGGCGTTTTCAGCTGGTAAAAAACGCTTTGGTGGACACAGGCCCTAATACTTCATAACACAAGAGATTTAGACTGGCTTCTGTAAGGCTAACAGCTCTTTGTGCATTAGTTGGTCCTTTAGTCAGATGTAAAATATACAATGACTGTGATTTCAGTTTGGACAGTTGTGTAATATTGAAGAGGAAAATAAATTCCAAGAAAGTGAGTATGAACCCCAAAGGAAGTATCAAAAGGAAACAATATTGCTGAGTCTCTTTCTTGAGAATGAAAAAGCTAACTTTCTAAGCTGCAGACTGATGTTACTGAAGATATGAAACTAGATGTTGAGTTTTTTAAACTAGATGTTGAGTTTTTTGTCAAACCATCAAACCTGTTTTTAATCACAAATCGGTTCAATTTCCACTAGCTGCCCCGTTTAGAGGATCAAAGTACAAAGTGCAGAAAATTTACATTTGATTTTTTTTTTTTTCTAGCTCTGTCGATCTTTCTGTTCTCATGTGTGTCTGCATGTTTGTCTCTTGTTCGTCCTCCAGCTGATTCCCTGGACTCGTAGATGAGGCCCCTCTTCTACCTTCAGCCCTGTGTGTCGGCTCAAGATGCAGAAAGACAATGCCACTGCGCTCTGTGTTTTAATGCCGGGCCGTACAGCAGACACCGCTTCACCACCCATATAACAACCCTCAGCAGCCAATAACTTCCTGGTCACCTGTCTGTCTCTACTATTCCTTAGAACTGTGCAATATAACCTTAAAACACACTGGTTTTTAACTCCCAGAATCAGTACACACAAGTGAAGCTCCTTCCTCTTCCTCTCTCTCCTGTTGCCAAGAATCCCCCCCCCCCCCACTCCAACTTCCTCTGAACTGGCGTCGCACTGAAGAATATTTGATTCTGACTCTGCAAGGAGGATCAAAAAAACCCAGCAGGGCTCCCGTCTGGCTGCTCAACAGTCACCAGGCCACAGAGCCAGTACGTCAGCCCTGGAGGAAACCAGGGGAAACCCAACGGCCTCACTAAAGGCATATCTGAGACATGACGACGGCACTTATACTGGGTGCACTTCAGATGGCTTTTATTTTTGTTTTGCTTTGTGACCCACCACTCTGTTTGCATTTTCTCTTCTCCTTTCAGTGTGTTTTGTGACAAAAGTTGGACACTGATGACCACTTATAGGTTTTATGTTTGTGTGACTTTACCTGGTAATTCAGGTAAGTTGTTGACATTAGCATGATGGTGGTATGACAATTTAGGAGCTATATATTGGTCGAACAGTAGCTCCTAAACATAACCTTCGTAATCTAAATTACATTATTAAAAAAAATCATTATTCAACCAACAATACAAGTGAAACAACACACATGGTCCGTATTATATTGGCTAAATTGTCCCAGGATGTCTTATTTTACGTTCTCTCTTTACAAGCAAGAACACCACATAAAAACCTCATTTCAAATTCTGGCAATTTTAAAAAAACATATATACCTCACAGAACCACACTGTAGGCCAAATTTTCCCCAAACACTGACAAATTTGGCATTTATGTTGTAAAAGCATTTAAATCAATCAATCAGTTTATTTTGTGAAAGAAGATCTTAAAAATGTTTAGTCAAGACTGAGTCAGGCTTATGACCCCTGTGTTTTTCCTGGCCATTTTAGCTCTTTATAATAGAAGTACAGCACATGCTACTGATAAACAGGACCGTGTCCCGTGTTTAACAGGCTACAGCTTTCAGCGCCAGGCTCTTATGTAGGGTAGACAAAGAAGCAACCAGCGCTCATTGTACTCTCGCGCCCAGACGACCTGCGTATTTAACTTCTCGTTGCATGAGAGCTTCACCAGGCAGAATTTGTGAAGAAGTTCTTGAGGAAAGTACAATCATCTAGTTTGTGTTTAATTTCTCACCTGGCTTCAATACACTTTATTTAATGTTGTCTGATGTACTTAAGTGTGTACGACGCAGCTTGGTAATGTGAAAGAGTTGCCATTGATGCTACTGACAAGTTGGTTGAAGCGGATGTTGGCGAAAGGAGTTAACCACTAAGGTTTATTGGAGGTGAACGGTTTTTGTAATTTCTTGGGTTCCTAAGTATCAAGAAAGTTACTGCAAAGTCTTAAAAAACTGTAGGATTTGACAAAAGTATTGATGAAAATAAATAAATAAATTGCAATGGTAATGTTGTTGACTGTCAGTTCCTGGGGAGTGATCCTCAGCTACACACTGGAAGGTTTTACTTGGCAGTTGAATGAAGAACCAAATGCCCAAAGAGAAAAGTATGTTGGAACTCTGAGTATGTCTAGTGTTGTGATCTCTTAATGTTCTTCAGACCCTTTAATTCTTCACTGTGTTGAGCTCTGTATTACAGACACACAGGATCACAGACCCAACAGACTGACTTCTGCAGACGTCCCTTTGCGGTTTAGTTCTTGTAATTTAGTCTTCGGTGGCATTTTTTGTCTCCATGTTAAAGTTTAAAGCAACTTCCTTTCGACTATTTCCCACCAATCAACAAGCTCACATTCGAGCAGTTTATTATCACACGATTATTGTAAAGAAACAGGAATAGTTATGTCTTGAAATACATTTTTTTTAATTTTGGTTTATTTGTAAACCGATAGAAAAGACAACGGCAGAGAAGCTGATACGCTCGGTTTATCTTCTCTTAAGACAAAAGGACAACGTCGTCCGAAACGTAACTGACATGATCACCCCATCGGTGGTGGTTACCTGTCAAATGTGCCTCTTACGTATTTATGTACATGTGTGTAAAATGAACAGGCTATGCCACATGTTAAGGTTTTTTGTTGTGTGCCGTTTTTCTTTTGCCTCACGTGTCCAGTGTCTCGCTTTTTACTTTTGCACCACTTTGTTTTGTTTTCTAAGGATGACAGACTGTTAGGGAGTCCTGTGACTCTGCACTGTGTGTCTGTCTCAAAATGACACAGATGTCAAAATCCATGTTTATGTATTTCCAGTTGGCATGTTCGAAATCATCAGTTGGTTTGTTATTCTGTTTTGTTTTTGTCTCCTGTCATTAAACAAATGTTGTTAGTAACTAACAATGGCTGTGACTTGTGTTTGATCTGAACAGTCGGATACCTTAAAGCTGAGTGATGCAGAAGATCAGCACCAACCGTGCAGATATCTCTGACAATGTCTGTCTGATTAAAGCCTCTACAATACTGGAATTACAACGCATGTCTCCTTGTAGAAACGGCAGACTTTTTTTCTTTTATTTCTGTTTTTTCTGTTGGTTTTTTTCCCTCTCTTCTTCTCTTGGCATTCACTGACTAAAATGAAAAGCTATTGTAAGTGACTCTCCAGTCTGTGATCATCACGTGCTAAACAGCAAAAACAAATCCATATTTTTAATCCGTAAATGAGTCAAATCCATACACATTCAGTTTATCAAACTAATCCGCATCTAATTTGGCAGTGATGTGAAAAGTACCTTTTTACTTTAATATAAGTATCCTTCCAAAATTGAAATCTATTTAGCCCTTCAGCCCTTTACAAAAGTAAGGAAATTAATTAATTAGGTATTTCATCACAACAAACATTTTTAGTCTTCTTAGACTTTAAAATATTTTTTTATTGGTAAAAGTGATAATGTGAGTCACTAATGTTAGTGCCACTTTATTAAAAAGGTCTGCATTGCCTTACCACACAACAAACATGTGACTTTGCCATCTGTAAAAGCAGATAACCTTCCCTGTGATGGTTTATCTAATGTATGTCTCTACTTATTGTTTTTCATACTATATGGGAATGAATGGAGACACCTGTAAGACAGAAACGTCTAAGAGTATGTTGTGAACTTAAATATATAGACATAGAGCACTGAACACAGACTACTGGCCCTAGTATTTCAATCTCAAAATTGTAAGGACTGAAAAACAGTTAATTTCGGCCTCTCGCTTGAAATGACTGCGTCTCTCTTACCACCAGATCGCGCTGTTTCACAACACATCTTTCGTTCCTGTTGGATTTCTAGTAATTCTAATAGGATAAAGCCTGTTCGTGCAAGGATTATCCTGCATGCTTGGTCTGCAGTGGGTTTACAGCTAAGAATGAATTTTATTCAAACGCAAAACAGCGTTTCAACGCAAGTGGTCGAGAGATTTGTTTCACCCTCGGATGAAATGTCAAATGAGTAATGCATTCCTCTCGTTAACGTTTTAAGATCGTGCTGATTGTGTACGTGGCGAATGGTTGTTCGATGAAATCTACAATTTAAGATACGGTGGATTAAGAAATGAGGATGACGTCCAAGTCTGTCCAGGCAGCGTCAAGGGTAATTTCAATGCATCAGATCAGGAAGCGCCTGTCAACTGACACAGAGATCGCGTAGGAGACGACAGAGGGATCGCTCTTCCTACGTTTTCGTCAGTGGGAACCTAAACACCTAAAGGAAAAATGTGTCCTGCAAACATTTGGAGAAAGTGAAACACAGAACGAATACAGAGTTCAACATTATAAATTACAGAAAACATCCACCACAATGGTTCCCATAAAACAGTTTACATCTGTGTCAGACAGATATAAATCCCTGAGAATATCCAGCCAACATCATCGAACACAGTCATTGATGGTTAAATATGGAAAAATAAAAATAGACTCAAGTTAAAGGGCTCATCCAATAAATAATGTAAGGTGTTGCATTTTTTAATCAGTTTGTCAGAAGGGTTAACTTTCCTCATAACCCAGATTATATAATTCCTAGGTTTTTCAGGGTAGTTCTATCTTTTCTCTCTAAGAAATTATTTGAGTTCACAATGTTGACTACTTAATGTGCTACTAAGTGACATTTCGCCCTTTGTTAAAATTTAATGAATTATTATTATTTTTGTATTCTTTTATTTTATGACTGTATATTTGCCAGTACCAACCACTCTTTCTCTGTTAATGTTTGTTGTAAAAAAATAATAAATAATAAAAATAAATAAAATAAAATCAATAAACAGGCCAGAGTTCATTTGCATAAACTGGATTGCAGAAGCAGGCACATGCGCGCTAGATTGTCATCCCTCTTTTCCCAGTATAGACGATCTGTGTGTTTGGCTGTAGTGTGTGTGCGCTGAAGAAAAGCTCCTCTCCCACTGGCTGCTATGACCTAGCTACCGCCGGACGACACTTTCTGTTTTCAGGACTGACCGCCGCGTCTGATAATAGTTTTGTCGCGTTTTGGGCAATCACACATTCAACATACAGTCGTTTATGGTCGCATTCCCGCGACTTTTTCATCGTAGCTGCTGGCCTCTGAGGCTAGCTGGCTAGCGGAGCAGTGACAGAGTGGAGCCAGCTAGTCGGACAGGGGTACAGTAACGTTAGCAAACAAGCTAATTAGCCCGAAACACTCAGCCTGGATTAACGTTAGTTAACGTTACTGTCTTTAATCAAAGAGAGCGCAAGTCTGCGGTTTTACTCACTGCGGCAAAATGAAGATAACTGTGGATTTCGAGGAATGTTTGAAGGACTCCCCTCGGTTCAGGTGAGTGATGACAATCAGGCTTTTGTACCGGTTAGTGGTTATTTATTAATCACACGGAAAAGTGACCAGCTAGCAGCCTGATAACACAAGCGACTCAGCAGTAACGGTAACATAACTAACCAGCTAGCCGCTTGCTGCCTGCTGCTTTTCTATTTTTGTCTGTAAGAAAGCTGGGGCCAGCCGGGGAGGAAACCAAACATAAACTCACTGACCAGTGTGGTAAGCTCATATGGGCAGGAGCAAGCTGTTCTAGCGCTTGTTTTCTTTATATAAATTATGTAGGAAGAAGGGAATATATATTTAATAAAGTCTGTGCCAGTAACTTCATTTGCCACTGTACGGAAGCGCATTGCATTCACCAAAGAAAAAAAATTACGAGATCAGGATCTCGTAATTACGAGAAAAGATGTCATAATTATGACATCTTATCTCGTAATTATGACATCACCCCAGCTTTCATTTTTATTGTATGCAGTACATCATACTGTAACATACTTTCCTATTTATCTGGAAAGAAATACTTTTATCAGCTAGTATTGGCAGGACAGAAAACTGGGGATGTAATTAACCTAATTAGTCTTATTTACTTGCTTAATCAATGAATTGTTTGGGCCATAAAGTGTCAGAAAATAATAGAATTGCCTCTCACAATTTCCCAAAGCTCAAGTTGACATATTCAGATAAGCCAACACCCCAAAACTGTCAAGTTTAATATTTTGATGACAAAGAAAACCAACAAAAAGTCACATTTAAGGAGCTGAAACCAGTGAATTCTTTTTGCCATTTTTGCTTTAAAAATGTCTTTAACAATATTGTTGCTGATTAATTTTCTGTCGATCGACCAGTCTATGAATCATCTCAGCTGGACAGGGCTCACACTTCTTCTCCCACCAGCCACATCAGGCCGTACATCCTAACACTCATAATCCATATTTTATTATTTCACCTACTAGTAAATAGGAGAAGACCTCATGAATAGTGGGTGGGTCCACTCCAGAGTGAAGCAGTTTTGTCAGGTGGTGGGTGTTCACGTGATGTATTATTGGCAGCGGTGTCTTTTTCTGACATCGTCACTCCCAGCTTCTTCTCTTTTTTTTTTTTTTTTTTTCAATTCATCAAGCCAAAATGTTGCGTAAAATGGGATGTTTTCTCACAACTTCCTCCTCAGTTGCTTTGCGTTTTCCAGAGATTGGAGAAAGCGCCTGCCTCCTTCCTCCCTAAGCCCCCCCACTCCCTTTGCTGCTGCTGCAACATCCTCTCTCACAAAAAAAACGAGGAACAGATGTTAGAAAGCTGTCTGCAGAAGAATGGAACAGCATTGTAAAACAACTAATTGGAGCATTTTAAAGCGTCAGAATAAAGGGAAACGTCAGTCAGCTGTGTTGCTTTAGGTTGGTTGGTCTAACACTCTAGTGATGTAAGCCCCTGTGTATTACCAAGGCTGCTGGACTTTGAGGATCTCAGTCATTATTATACCTTTTTATGAATTGTTTATGTACTCAGATTGGTCCAGTATTTACCAGCATTTCTTTAAAACATTGCAGTTAGTATGTATTCCAGTTCTAGTTGCATCTAGTCTGTGATGAACAATTAATTCATTTTACCAAAATCACAATATGGCCAGGCGCAATATCCAAATTGCAGGAGCTGCAACTTTTTGATAAAGGTAAAATGTATCACAGCATACCACTATAAATAAAGCATTGTGGTGCTACAGAGATGTTTTGGCTTACGAATCATATTCTCCACACGTAAGGGAGCATGCTTGTTTGGTACAGACCCTGGCAAAAATTAGATAATTTTTACATTTTTTTTCAGCGAAAATGAAATGCAAAATTACCTTTCCCACTATAATTGTCACTCATATCGCAATAGACAGTCTGTCAAAATAATTGATATGAGTTATTGTTGTGTGAGTCAGTGATGTAGATTTTAGAACAAAGTTATGAAACTACTTAAGCCGGGCCGCAGACTGAGGCTGTGGTGAATATGCATTGTCTGAAACTAAAACCTTTAACCAATGACTTTCAGTCCATAAAGTATTTCCCCATAGACCTCAAACGATACCTCTTCCCTATTGAAAGTCAATAATTTTATGTATAAGGCTTGATCACAGAGTATTAATAAAAAAATAGATTATATGTCAACAAAGGCTCAACAAAGGCTCCAGCTCCAAAATTTGTTCTGAATTGAGGAAACTGCTAAACTTCAACATGACTTTGTAGACTGGATGGCTAAGTCTGCTAATTTATCAAGGAAGGCTGCAGCAATATAAAGAAGGTACAGAAATGGAAACATCTCTGTGAGTGTGCATGGGCATCTACACATAAAGTGTATTGGTCAGATTATCATAAACATCTTGATTCATGTTTAGTCAGGGAATTAATTAGCAACTTTTTTGTTCATCAATTAATATGATGGTCAAAGCTACAAAGTCATTTTGCAAGCAGAAAGCCTAAACGTTAGCTAGTTCCAACTCCTCAGTTGTGAAGAGATTGTCAATGGGCATTTTTCACTATTTTCTGACATTTGCAGACGAGAAGATTAAAAAACATAATTGATTCTCTTTTGTTATCTTAACAATTCACCTGGTCGTATGTTTCCTTTGCTAAAGGGACATTTTTTGAGAGTGTCTACAACCCAACAGCATGTATTCTCCCACACACTCCATGGTCATCCAAACTTTATTCTTTGCGAAATATAGTTCAGCCTTTTCTCCTAAACAGAGCGCTCTGGCTCTGTACAGTATTTTCAACTCGCTGTACACATCAGGGTGCATGTGAGAGAAACCTGATATTAGCAACTAGTACAATAGCTGTTCATAAACCTGTCCGATGTAGCACAGGTTGTAACAAACACGTACCATTTGTGCAAAAGCAATCGCAGTACTGGTCTGCCTTATTTTTGTCAATGTTTTGCTCTGTGTCTCTGTAACTTTAAGGATAACAAATATTAGCACCACCTGAATATTAAAATTGGAAATCTAAATCTAGTCTGTGTTTGATCATGTTAGTCTGATAGGACTAGGAAGCACCTTGCCGTGATCCTCTGCAACCAGGAGCCCAGCTTTATTAAATTTTTAGTGCCCTTTGTCCTTTATGAGAGTCATCTTTTTAAGTTTCTTGACTGCAAGTCCACTGTAGCTGCATCCTGATGGGTTGGGACTGATCAGAGAGTTTCACGGCGCAGTTTTCCACTGCGACCACCATTGTTTCACTGGTATTTTCCATTCTCGTTATGTTTGGCCCGAGAAGAGGACAGAGCGGGAGAGAAAGAAAGAATGGATGAACACATGGAATACACAGCAGTGTGGAGCAGCTCTCGCTTGCTCAACATCTGTTTCCATTTTGGTGTTCGCTTTTAACTTTGTGCCAGAGAATATGGAGCCCCCAAATGTGGAGAGGGTTGTTTTCAAGTGGTAATTTGGCACACCCCGCTTTTTTTTTTTTTGCTCTCATCCTCATTTTAGTCGGGAAGCTGTCTTTGGTCATAAACCATGCTTTCAGCCTAGAGGAGAGATCCATTAGTGCAAAAATTATGTATTTTTGGCGGTAAACCCTCACAGCCTAGTTTTCCACTTGAGAATAGACTCAGCCTTTCCTGGATCCTCTTCAAGTATGAGTCGAAAATTCCCTTCAGAGGGCCGTGGCTTTTCTCCCCACATGATTTAGAAGTAAATGTTTTACATATTTAATTTGCTTGTCTGTCCTGCAAGGTACCAGCGGAGACTAGAATTAGCAAGTTTTCATATTAAATTAGCAGTATGTTGTTTGTTTTGGTAGTTCAAGAACAATAATGATGACAGTTGTTTTAGCATAGGTTCTAACCGATTGAAGAAAAATATACATCGGCTTGCTGAGGTTCTAGATGAACCACAGAGGGAAGCACAACACCAAGAGATTAATAAATAAAACATCACAAGAGTAGGATGGATGTGTTTTTATACCCAGTTGACATGAACTGCCCAGAAGTGAGCTAATTTCTTTATTTAACAGCAACCCTTTCCCCTGTCTTCACTCGCCTCTTAAACATGATAACGTGATTACCTGCTCCTGATTGGTTTTGCTGATTCTGAGCTTGGCCGAGTGCCATCCCATGAGGTCATTGGTCGAACAGTCCCGGTTGCAGTTTCCCCTGAGTCATTGACAGCAGCTGTACAGCCAGCAGATCACTGGCGGTCTTCTCTAATATAGTACCCAGAGTCTGATTAGAAGTGTTCATACTATGATACAGTATGAGCACTAACTCCTTTCCCATGGGAGTCCAGCTGTAGGCTTGTTCGCATGATGGGCTTGTTGCAGTTTGATTTAATTGAGCTGTGGTTCATTTCCTTTTAGATTGTTATCAATAAAGGCAATTAACAGCTAATGAAATGTGAGGACTGACCCGTAGTCCTGCTTATTGGTACTGCTAGAGTTGTATTTCATGGGACAGTATAGTAAATAAAATAAAGGAAAATGTTATTTATTGTGCTGCAGAAAATGAATCTTCAATTCATAATAAACATTTCAAGTAAAAACACTGATTCCAGCTGCTGAAATATAAAGATATTTGTAAACTTTCAGTTTTAAACTGTTGATTTGACAAAACAAAACATTGTACATTAATAGTAATAATGAAAGTAGTGGTTAGTTGGACCCCTAGTTTTTAGCTGTCAAAGTAATAACTCCTGTTTAACATTTTTATATTATTTAAGGTTTTCTCTCCTACAGAGCCTGTCACTCCTCAGACTTTACTGTAGATACTGAAAATGCTGCAGTTATGACTCCCACCATCTGCTCTGTCTTTCCTTCCTACAGCTTGTGTATGACATGGGAGCACAGGGGATGTACAAGATATGAAATTGGCCTAAATGTTCCAAGTTCCTGTATTGTGTAACTTTTTATCTTTAACTTATGACTTCATCTTGTTGATGTGGATGAAGCTCGTGCGTCAAATGGTAGGTTTTACCACAGCAGGAGCCCCCTCCATATCACCTCTCCTCCGCTCAGTAACAATTA